GCTACCCCCCGCCAGGCCTCCCTGCCTGCAGGGTCCGATTCAGTTCGTTTTGTCCTCGTGGAAGCCCTTAAGTTTTGTGGCAACCTTGGATGTTGATGTTTTGCGTGGCTTTTCCATTGCAAAGCAAAAGAAAAAGAATTATTATCACATGGTACTTCCTTGACAGGTTTTCGATTTCCAAAAGCTTCTCGTACGTTCGTGTGACTGAGATGCCCACCAGTGTTTTGGGTGTTTTCTGCAACAGCTGTTAAATAACCTGATGTATTGTTTGACTTCCTGCAGGCAATTTCTAAAGGACCAGACAAGTTGCCTGAATCTTCCCTTACAACCAGTTTCTAACCGAGACCATGTGAGTAGAAATCTTTTGAGTCTAGTTTTGTATTTCATGCTTGAAGCGAGTCTGGGCAGAAGAGGGTCCCCAGATCAGGGTGGTGAGTGCCTGGCCCCAAATGTGGTGCAGCCAACAGATTGGTAAACAGCTGGCAAGAAGCCAATAATTATTTTTTCAGAAGAACTTAGCGTGGGAGACTCATCCCCTGCCCATGCAGTGGTGGTGTTGTGTTATCATTCTTTTAACGACCTCTTTGTCACCGCGTGGATGTCGCTTGGGCTGGGGCAGGAGCAAGCTGTCAGGGTTTGACCGAGCTGAGCTTGGCTCAGGGCTGAGGTTCTCTCTGTTTCTCCAGGTTGACAGGAACGAGAAGGACGTTCTTGGAAACGTGGCGAAGGACGCCCAGAGGAACGGCAAGCTTGGGGCCAAATCCACGCAGCGCGCTGGCCTTGCTGCTCCGCAGAAGTCTTCAAATGCCTCCCAGAGAGCGGCAGTGGCTCGTCCGGAGCAGCTGAGGAAGAACGCCAAGCTTCCTGTGGGGCTTGTGCCAAGCGTGAGCCGCTTGGCTCAGACTGCAGAGAGGCTCCCAGCTTCAAACTCGGGTCACCTAAATCCAGAAAGGAACAAGAAACCTTCCCAGAAGACTGTCGCCACCCCAGCACCAGGGACTGGAGGTGACCAGCCCCATCCTGGGGCACCTTGCTCCCAAAACGAGGGCTTGTGGGACAGGCTGGTCGGAAACAAAGAAAATGTCCAAGCGCAAGCATCTGTGCGCCCCGTGCTGAACAGAGCTTTTCAGTCTCGTGGAAACAACCTCGAGAACAGGAGAGTCTGGGCTCACCAGCAAAGCTCAGCCACGATGTCAAGAACCGTCCCAGGCACACAGGACAGAGCTAGTAGCCGCCAGGCTAAGGAAGAGCCGATTCAGGATAAATTCAGGAAAACTCTGCCAGGCTCAAAGAGTGTGCCTCCGAAAACAAATACCAAAACTCAGCCATTGCAGCCCCCTCGGTTACTTACTGCTTCTGCCAATTTGCTATATAAAAATCCAGGGGAAAACCAGGGGAAAACCAATATGGCGAGGGGACCCGTAGGAAAGCCGCTCGGTGTGCCTCCAGCAGGAAATCTGAAGCCCTACAATAGGCCACTGCAAATGAAAATACCTCCCGCAAAGCCTCCACAGGCTCCTCCAACCCTGAAACCCAGCCTGAAGCCGAGTGGAACCGTGCCCTGGCAAAGGCCCTCGACTAAATTGGGGACAGACAGGAGGGATGTGAAGGTGGTGCCTCCCGGATGCACGGCGGCATCCCGACCGACGGTCCCTCCAAACCAGCCTCGCGGCACATACGGCTCCAGAACTCAGGCCAGAGCGAGCAATTTTGGGTGTAGGCGCGTTCCCAAGACCCCGTCGGCTGCAGATCGTAAGTAAGTAGCAGCTTTGGCCAACTGTCCTCGCCTCCAGGGGACAGCAGAGTTTAAACAGTTGTCTGAATCGGCACAAACCTGCTAAGACCAGGGGCCAAAGTCCCTTTATCCCCGAATGTCTGCTTGGAGATCAATGCCCCAGAAAAGAGGAGGGTGGGGATGAGATTCAGTGGCACCCTGGCTGCCTCTCCCACCCACCCAGCAAGGGGGAGGAAAGCGTGCGGCCGCTCTCCTCGTTTATCTTCAAGGTACGTGTTGGCCTGAGAGGGTTTTCCTTTGCCAGCCTAGAGCTCGGGTGCGTTTTTAGTACAGAGGTGCCAGTTCTTCCCGACCAGCTGAAGTTGGCTAGAGGGAGATTCCAAGGGAGAACAGTAGCCTGGCAAGTGCTAAAGGTCTGCTGGGGTGGTAACAGTGGTCTCTTGGTCCTTTGACAGGAAACAGCTGGAGGAGTGGTTGGCATCCAAAGGCAAGACATACAAGCGGCCGCCTATGATGCTGCTTCAGAAAAAGCAAATTCCGCTGTCCCGCAGAAATGTCAAGGAGAAAGAGAAGCGAGAGAAACCGGAGCAGCAACCCCTGGAGATGATCGACAGCATCTTGACTGAGTGCCTGAAGCTCGCTGAGGAGGTGGGAACGGGAAAGGAGCTGCTTGACCAGGCCCCGCTTCTCCCGGAGTGTCCCCGATGAGGGCTGGCCCTGCCCCGGCAGCACGGAGGGGCTGGGAGCGTTCTTGCCCGTGCTTGCCAGAGGGGTAACGTCACGCGTAGGAAAAGTCCTTGTGGAGTTCAGGATAGGTGGAAGGCACGTGGCGAGATGCGCTAATGGGGAAAA